GGCCTTTTATTATATAGACTAGAGGCCCAGCGCATGCGCGGTTAGGATCCCTAAGCCTAGCTGCAATCAAGGCCATGTCCACCGCCCAGCGTTGCTCCTCCACCTCCGTGGCCCCTGCCCCGTGAACCTCCAAGCTCACAGCCCCCACGCTGCAAGACTCATTGGCCTCAGCTGCCCAAGCCCCGTGACACTCCTCCGCCAACCCGTGAAGCTCCACGCTAACAGCCCCCGCCTGCAAGGCTCCTCGGCCTAACTGCTGCCCACGCCCTGCAATGCCTTCCATCTCAGCAGCCCCACAAAGCTCCACACTCACCACCCCTGCCCTGCAACGCTCCTCTGCCTCAGCCACGCCATGAAGCTCCACTCTAACAGCCCACAGCCCATGAGGCTCCTTGGCCTCAGCTACCACTGCAATGCTTCTTCGCCTCAATGCCCTGCAAAGCTCCATACTCACAGCCCCTGCCCTGCTCCTCTGCCTTGCGTCCACCACCCCTGCCCCTCCACCTCAGCCACCCCGGGAAGCTCCATGCTCACAGCCTCCTGCCCCACGAGGCTCCTCCACCTCAGCCACCCTGGGAAGCTCCATGCTCACAGCTCCCTACCCCACGAGGCTCCTCAGCCTCCACAATCCCGCCCCGCCACGCCGTGAAAGCCAGGCCGGTCCTTTGGTCATTTGGGTCCACAGCTCCCTCCTCCCGCTGTCACACCATGGGCGACCAGAGGCCCACAGCTCCCACTCCCTAGCCTGTTGTTTGGTCGCCTGTCTGGTCGTGACGGCACCTGGCTTTTTATATATATTAGGATAGCTTTTGTATAATATTCTACTGTATAACTGCACCATTGTATATTTATCTATTCTCCACCTTAGAGATACTTAGAGGCTTCCAGTATTTTTACTACTGTAGTCAATGCATCAGGGAACATTTGTGCACTAGTTTGTTCACACCAGTGAGAGCTTCATTGGGGATATCCCACAAGCATTTCAAACATGAGAAAATGAAAAAGAGTGGCTAAACAATGGACTTCTGGGTCCATTGTTTTCTCCTCTAACCCACAGTTAGGGGCTTGTCCAACCTGTGCTCACAAACATAAATAAGTTAAAAATAATATTTTATTTTTTATGGGTTGAAGATGTTTATAATGATATTATGCATACTTCACCTAATTTTCCAGGTGTTGTGGACACCCTGTAAATTCCAAGATACATTAGAGCAAACAGGGATGTACCCAGTCTCAAGTTAAATGAAACCCAAAAGAATGTGGGAGAGGCTCACACAGTAGGACTGTGTTGTGAAAATATAACAATACAAAACTATGTGCCGAAGGACAGGGTTAAAAGCCAAATAAGCACGCACCAGGAAGTGCTTTGGGAGTTCTGGGATCCCTGTCTTCTGTCATTTGAACCGGGATGGAGAGATTTGTATAAGGTCGTCTGAAAGGGCAATGCAGTCCAGAGGCAGAAACCAAGTTTCCAGTACTCTCTAGAAAGGTATCATTTCCACCCTGCAATTCAGTGAAGAATAGTCAACTGGGGCGGGGAATGTGTAGTGCCTGCACAAGAAGTGAACCTAGACTACAGCATTTAAGCCTCTCAATGGCCGGCAGGTGGTCAGTTTCTGAGGCAATCTCTTAGAGACTGACATGGAAAAAGATATGGGAAGCACTGGGGTTTTGCTACCCATCAGTTAGCTGCTGCTCTGGCTCCTATCCCCTGGCTCCCGCTTCCCTCCCCTCTCTTTTGCTTCCCTTCCTCTCCACCTTTCAGTTTGCCTCCTGTCATTCCCTGCTATAATTAAAACAAATAGAAAACTTGCAGGTGTCTGCTATAAAGCGTTTGCAGATACTGTGTAGAGCATAGAAAAAAAAAGCAGCTGCAAATTGTGCAATTTGGTGTTTAGAAAAAACCTGAAAGTTTCTGGAAATAAACTCATCTTCCGTCCGGGTAGGTTTTGAATTTCCTTTTTGTTTCTGCGTTAGCCCAGTTCATCACCACTGCCTCACTGCCTTGGCAGAAAGTTTCAACGCTGTGAGTGCCGTTACTATTTTAGAAGAAAGGGGAGATTTCTGGGATGATGGCTTACTATGGGGAAACTGACTGCAGGGTCTGGCACAGTTTTAGACAGAGTCTCTTTCAGCCCAAATAACACCCAAGAATAACAGCAGCTGTAAGGTACTGAAGGTGGAAGAAAAGTAAAAATGTGCTGAAACAATATCTGTAATACTTGGAAGGGACCTTCCCTCCCCAGAGGAGACCAATATCCTGGCATGGATAACATTGAGGACACCTCGATGCTTTCTTGGGACACCCATTTAGGTCTGCAAGCCATTTACAAAATATGCTCCTAGGGCAGACCACGGGTGTTCCAATTTGAGCTTAAGGCTTGGCTATGTCTTCCTCTCCCCTGACTTAAAAGTTTCTCAGCACCATGTGGGCACAAGAGTTCAGGAAGCCAGTTTAGCTTCAAAGAGCTCAGATTCTCCAGTCAGATAGGGCTGGGATTTAAATCCTGGTTTTACCTCTAACTGTGACCATTGGAGAAGTTACTTAACTGCCTATGCTTTTATTTCCTCATCTGTAACGTGGGGTCAGTCATTCTATGTGCACCATGGTCATAATTCTTGAGAGGACATAATACAGTGCCTGCCATGGGAAAGGTAGACAGGAATGGTAGAGCTAATGATGATGAAGGTGGTGGTAATAACTTTGCTTCCCTTTCTTTTAGAGCCCCATAGTGCTGTCTTACCTGGGTCACATCCATCCATCCATCCATCCATCCATCCATCCATCCATCCATTCTTCCTTCCTTCCATCCATCCACTCAGTCAACGACCTCTACTATGTGCTTGGCATTGTTCTAGGGTTCTATACAACAGTATATGCCTTTATATCTACTAATATTTAAAAATAAAGAAAAACAGAAAGTGCACAATTAGTAAAACTTAATAGTGATGAAGAATGGATGACATGTAAATACATTCCAGGGAATTAACATTAGGTTGAAGTAAATTGCCTTAGTTATTAGTCATGCTATATTTCCACACCTATGTCAAATGTATACTGCCTTTGGTTGTGTCTTTTTGCTCCTGGTGGCAAACTTTGAGTAATAAATTAGATTTCCCCTGGGAGAAACACAAAACTCTTGAATGCATTCTCTATCCCAGCAAGAAATTTATAAGCCCAAGTAGAGTCATCACCATCTGAAAGGCTTTTCTGTTTGACTCAGACTTTATTTCATAGCAGAGTATAGTCATCAGGCAATTATTTTTCTGAGTTCAGTGGAAAATATTTTGTTCCTTTCTTTTTCTCTTTCACTGCAACAATATTTTGTTTCCTTCTCTTTCTTATTGGCCTTCTTGCCTTTGTTTCTTCCCTTGCCATTGAATACTGCATATTTATTTTCCCTGAAAGCCAGACCATCATTCGTTCATTCATTCCTTTTCACTCACTCAACATGATTTGACTGTCTACTAGTGCCTGGAACTTGCCACTCCTCTCCTTAATCACTAGTAATGGTTCCCTATTACATATGAATCAAGCCCATAGTCTTCACTCTAGTTTCACCCTTAGAAATTCTTATTTTCTATTATAACTGTCCACTCCAGATAGGTAGTAGGAAAGTCCTGTGTATCATATTTTCATTTTTATACCTCAGTTCTTTTACAGAATCATGACTACCATCAAAATCCTTATAATTAAAAGTTTGCTCAGACTCATTTCCTCTATGTAATATCTTACAATTCTAGCTTGGCTGTCTCCAAATTTTGGAACTTCGATGCTAAACAGAATGAGTCAGAAATGCATGATCCTCTTCCAATTAGGCAGGGAAATGAAAACTCTTAGCACGATGACCATTACTACCTCGGGTATTGTGTTTAGTACCTTCTCACATCATCTCAATCTAATCCACACAGCAATCATATTAATATTCTTATTCTACTGGTGAGGAAACAACGGCTTAAATAATTTGCTACTGTCCCAACGTCACATAACTAGGAAGTGATGAAACTAATATTCAAACTCAGATCTATATAATTCCATACATAGCCCATGCTCTAAAACAGCAATTTTCATCCTTTTTCATCTCATGGCACATATAATTACTAAAATCCTGTGGCACACCAAAAAATATATTATAATTTTTGATGGTCTGACAAAAAAAATAGGTATAATTTTGATTCATTCACACTGGATGGCTATCATTGTGTTGGCTGTTGTCATTTTTTATTTGACAATCTAAGGCAGAAGAGGCCACCGTCCCTAATTAAATAGGTGCTGCATGTTTTAACAATTATTGCAGCATACCAGCATGCCACAGCACACCAGTTGGAAATCGCTGCTCTCAAATTTTGTGCAATGTTGGCTCTCAGAAGTGTAAAATATGAAAGATCTAATTTGCTGCAGATTTCTTCCCAAACCCCATAGGCAAACTCCCAAATTGAACTTACCACATGTTGAGATTTAATCCAGGATTTCTCTTCCTTAGCACTATTGACATTTTGGGCCAGATAATTCTTGGTTGTGGGGAGCTCTCCTGGGAACTGTAGGATGTTTTGCATCATCCCTGGCTTCTACCCACTAGATACCAGTAGCATCCCCCTTTCAGTTATAATAATCGAAAATGTCTTCAGAGATTGCCAAATGTCACCCTAGATGCAAAATTCCCCCCAGTTTATAACCACTGGCTTAATTCAGTCTTGCAATATGGACACAGCTAAAGACAAACTAAACATAAACTATATAAACATGGGAATAGTTCCACTGTGCACAAACATGTTTTCTATGAATATCTCCATAAGATGTCTTCATAAGCGGCAGCATTGTCATTTAATTCAAATGCAATGTAAAACATTACTCAGAACTATAGTTTTTAAGGAAATTGAGCTTGTGTAAGAAAACAATTTTATTTTGTTTATTGTAAGAGGACCATTTCGAAACTTATTTCAAACCAAGGAAAACAATAAGAATGAAAACCATTATAAGGTTAATATGTAAAGTATGTTCAGGGAATAATTGACACAATCCAGTTGAAAAGGCTTCCTCCTGATAGGATACAACCGTTAGCAAGATCAAAAAGTCTCTCGAGATTGAATATGGATGGCAGCGAGACCTTAAATGGAACCTGAGAAAAAGCATAAAAATGTTTATGAAATGCATTGTTTTGAACTGTTGACTGAAGTTCTCAAAATACACAAATACCAATTCCATATAATAATTTTATGTGAAAGATATATAATTCTTGCCTAAGGTAAGATTGTATCTTTACACTGCTGAAATGTCACATATATCATTTTATATCTTATTAAGATTCACATCTATGAGTCTAGGAAACAGTATACAGATTCATACCGTTGAATCTGTAAAATTGAGCCTATAAAACAGCTGATACTTCTAGAAATGTGGACTATTTTTGTTTGCATAATCATTGCGAATGATTCTAAATGAAGGATGTTTGGCTCTCTTTCTAATGGGATGCTTGCTTCTGAACAGACTGCCCAGTTGACAAACCTCCCTTTCTCATTTTGAGCTGAAGTCCTGCCACAGTGAAGCAAATTATGTTAGGGGTTCACTCTCTCTGAAAGGCACTATTACCACACCAAGGACTAGTATAGCCAAGTCATCTGAGAGTCTAAAAAAAGGAAATAAGACAGCTTTTGTGATTGGAGTACTGGCTATTTGATGAGGAGGTGGGAAGAAATGGGAGAATAACATGAAGGAAAGGAAAAGAATGTCTACTGCAGACCCACTTCATGCACATCTAGATACTTCTAAAGATGAATGATGTCATGTAGAATGACTCTAATGAATTAGATTCTTGTGAGCCTGAATCCTGGTAAAAAGTTAGAGGACAAGGATTATTAATTCCGTGTCTACTTGTTAAATGAACCTATTATTCTCCAGAAAACATAGTGAACCTAAAATTGGAGACTAGTTTTTACTTGTTTTTCTTTACTTTAATGGATTTAAAAAAGTGACAAAAGTATTCCAGTGTTTTCTTTAACTTCAAATAATAAATAAAAACTAATAATATCCTTTTCAGCACTAAATCTTATAGTAATTAGTATCACCAATTTGAGAATTCTTCTTCCAAAACTGTTAAAATCTAGATACAAATGTATATTCACATGGGTCTTTTCCTTTTCTTTCTTTCCTTATTTCTTTGAAAAAGAATAACCAAATTTCCATTCATTGCTTTTTCAATTACCAATATATAAGAGAAATCTCCCCTCTACCAATTCAGGGAGGCAGACTAACCACATGGAGGTCAGGAGCATGCCTGGAATAAGACCATTTGGAATATTTGGAATATTCCATTTGGAATATTAAGACCATTTGGTTCATACCAGATATGTGAGGTTAGGTAAAATATTTTATGTGTTTTAACTTTAATGTTCTCACCCATAAAATGGAAATAATAAGAATTACTCTATAGTATTATTGTTACAAGAATGGAGTAAATTTACACATATAAAATAGAATTGGCCCTTTAACAATGTTGGGATTAGGGATGCCAGTCCTCCCACACAGTTGAAAATCTGCATAAAACTTTTTTGACTCCCCCACAACTTAACTACTAATAGTTTACTGCTGACTAGACACCTTACCGATGGCATAAACAGTTGAGTAACATATTTTGTATGTTCTATGTATTAAATACTATATTCTTAAAACAAAGTAATCTATTAAAAAGAAAATCATGAGAAGATATATTTATAGTGCTGTAGGTGTTTATTTAAAAAATCCACATATAAGTGGACTCACACAGTTCAAACCTGTGCTGTTCAGGGGTAAACTGTACTTAGAAGGGTGCCTATCACAAACACCTAATGACGGCTATGTTGTATTATCACTATTGAACACACCATTTTTAATGGCTTATAACAATGCATGGCATGGACAATCCTTCATTAAAGAGGTAGTTTCTAGTTTTTGAGCATGCTTGTCTACTTATATATCTCCTGAGTGCAAGCGCTTTAATTTCTGTATTGCTGATTCCCCAAAGGTGGTTGTTCTGGTCAAAGAGTGTTTACATTTTACTTTTTAACATTTCCTGCCAGATTACTTTCTAAATAGGTTCTGACAATTAATACTTCAATCAGAAACAAATGAGGGTTTTTCACACACAGGGCAGCATATTATTATCATGGAATGTTATAAACCTTTTTATTTTGCCATTTAATGACTATTTTTATTTATTAAAAATTGGAAACATCTTAGAGAGTTAATATTAACTAGTTTATTAATATGTTGAAATATATGTGATTACCATGATTATTTTGGTTATATCTCATTGCTATTTAATTACACTAAACATCCAGTTTATTATATGGTGATGAAAGGCCTCACATACAATAATACCCTTTAGTAGATAATTTTCAAAGTAGTAATAATAATTGACATTAAAACATTTGTGTTTTCTCTGGAGCTATATTTCTGTTATTGTAGAATTTTTCTCATCTTAAAGATTGCAGTATTTAAAATAAAAATACAAAGAAGCCAAGTTAGTTTTAGATAACATTAGAAGTATCTTACGACATAATTTATATACTGGATCCAAATAGAGCACTTTGGCCGCTGACCCTTAACAATGAACCTGCAGAAATAAGTGGCCATTTGTCAAGGATGGAGATTAATTGCTGGATTTATTTATGAGACCGCAAGTGAACGCTTAGGATCAGAAAGATAAAATAAAAAGAGCTGTCATCCTGGAGTTGTTAATTTTTGTCCATCCTCTGGAGAACACAAATGACCCTCAACTGTCAGAACTTACCCTTGTGCTATTACTCCTACCTTTTCAGACACCCAGGCATTTTAAGCCCTTTGGTGGACACTTCTAAAGCTTCAGATTCCAGATATTTCTATTATGCTATAGCACAGTAGTCTACATTTTTCTGTTGCTGAACATAATCCTTTAAATAAACTTTTGATTGAATTATAACATACAGGAGGAAAAAGGAGAAATCTTAAATGTAGAACTTAATTTTTTTTCCCAAAATAAACACATTCTCATAATCATCACTCAAATTAAGACAGAACATGATTGGCATCCAAGAAGTCCCCTGGTGCTCCCTCCTAGTCACTAACCTTCTTCCTGCAAAGTAACCACTATTCTGGCTCCTACACTGACATTTTAGCTTTACATGTGTGTGCGTGTGTGTATTACAACTATATTTTTTAAACTTTAAGTAGAGTCATAAAATATGTACTCTTTTGTTTTTGCTAAACATTATGTTTTTCATCCATGTCAGTATTAACAATAGTTTGTTCATTCTTATTCATGTATAATTTCCATTGTATGACTGTATCACTACTTACTAATTTTCCAGATGTTGAGCATTTGTATTATTCCAAAAGTTTATTTCAGGTATACCAACTGAGGTATACTTCATTTCTGTGAGGTAGATACATAAACATTGAATTTTCTGGGTATCGGTTATGCATTTATTTACCTTTAAGCTGATTCTACCAAACAGTTTTCTAAATGGATTGGCCAATTTATACCCCCACCAGTAGTGTATGGGGGAATCAGTTATTCCATATATTCACACACTTTGATCATTTTACTTTTTCATTTTAGACATTCTATTGTATATTTTGAGATATCTCTTCATGCTTTTAATGTCATGTCCACAACATCCTACCCTATCTAATAAAAGAGTAATATGCAAATTAACCATCACTTCCTCACAAAATGGTGGCACCCATAGCCACAAGATGGTGGTGCCCAGCCCCTCAGCCTCGCTGCTGGAGTGTTTGGGCCTGTCGGCCCGACCAGTGGTCACGGGGACCAAGCGGAGAGGCGGGATCCGCCCACTCCGGTAGTGGATCAAGCCTCGCTGCTCTGCCACCTCTGGAGTGTCTGGGGCTGAGCAGCAAGGCTGGATCTGCAGCAACCCGTGAGCAGGCAAGCACGCCCGCAGACAGCACCCAGCAGGGCCTGCTTGCCCATCACCATGGTGTGGAGCAGGCAGGCCCCACAGAGAGCAGAGAACCACGGGGAGCGGGCTCAAGCCATCAGTAGGACATCCCCTGAGGGCTCCCGGATTGGAGAGGGTGCAGGTTGGACTGAGGGACCACCCCCCCGTGCATGAATTTTGTGCACTGGGCCTCTAGTCCTATGCTAAGTGGTCATCCAGTAGGCCATTCAACCAATCAAAGCATAATATGCTAATGATATGCTAAGGCCGCTCAACAACTCGCTATGACATGCACTGACCACCAGAGGGAAGATGCTCTGACTGGTAGGTGAGCTTGCTGCTGGGGTCTGGCCGTTCAGGACTGAGCAAGATGGGCTGGACACACCCTGGAGCCCTCCCATGGTCCCTCTCCAGCTGGCCAACCTCCCACGTCCTTCCCTGGTCCCAATTGTGCACCAGTGGGGTCCCTAGGCCTGGTCTACACCCTTTCACAATCCAGGACCCCTTGGGTGATGTTGGCCCAATCCCGCATGCCAGGCCGAGGACCCCACTGGTGTACAAATTCGTGCACCGGATCCTCTAGTCTAATAATATTAAACATATGTTTATTGGTCTTTGTGGAAATACATGTCTTTTGTCTAATTAACATTGATTTTATTCTCTTGCCTTATTGCAATAGCTACAAATTTCAAAGTAATGTTAATTCACAGAAGTGGTATTGAGCCTTATTATTCCTAAAACTTCTATTTAAATTCAGAATAGAAGTAACCACCTATACATGTCCAAGGTATTTTTTAAAATAAACACTTTATTAAACAGTAAAATTTAAAAGTCACTATCATCAAAATAATGAAGTCCAGTTTTTAAAAATATTGAGTTAAGTGGACACACTAAATTGATCTCACAGCCAAAGTATATCAGTGCAATAAACTCAGATTAAGAGAGCCCGCCCGGTGTAGTTCAGTGGTTGAGCTTCAAGCTGAAGCCAGGAACCAAGAGGCGACAGGTTCAATTTCCGGTCAGGGCACATGCCCGGGTTGCAAGCTCAATCCCCTATTGGGGGTGTGCAGGAGGCAGCTGCTTGATAGTGTTTCTCTCTCATCGATGTTTCTATCTCTCTATCCCTCTCCCTTTCTCTAGCTCTAAAAAAATCAATTATATATATATATATAGATTAAGAGAATCTGAAATGTGCTTTAGGAAG